AACTACATTACATGGTCTCTGTTGTCCAAATTAAAACCAGAATGTACTAAAGAATGTGGCATGGTGACTAGTTCAAAGAACTAGGAGATGAGATGCATTTTGCATGAGCAGCAAAAGTCTTAAAACTGAGTTTTGATGGCCTGTTACTGGAGATACAAGTGTCAAGAACAGACACCAGCTATTAATCTTGTTCTTTGGTGCTGCATCTTCCCCTTTCCTTTCACCCTGCTGCCATAACCTGTGGCCCATGAATGTATTAAACTTAAAGCAGCTATGGTAACAGCTTAAAGATCAACAGGGTAAGCCAAACCTATTTGGTTTAATCAAGAATACCCACAAGTGATCACTCTGCTGCATGCCACAATCATGTACTATATACCAATATACTCACTGATGTATGCTGTTGGTATATCTGTGGTTACTACATCTGTGGTGTAATTCCTTCCGGTAAGCTCTAGTGAATTGTTTTTTTTAGGCTTTACATTATCCGACCAGATGTCCACTACAATCATTAGCATGCAGCAATATACACTAGAGAAGCACAATGAGGATGGATAGCTAGAATAATGTAACTTAAAATGTGATCAAGCAAAAAAAAACAACACTATCGGCGCTTTAAGCGGAAATCACACTTAACGATTGGGGAAGGTGGCAGAAGGCTGTGACAGCGTGTCTACAACTGCAGCCAGTCCACATGAGCACAAAATACCACTTCCTCTTCTAGCCACAAATAAGCACTCATGACCTTACTAGGTATCCACTCTCCGGAAGTCACAAGCAAAACCAAAAGATAAGCAGAGATGTCGATAGCTAAGATGCAAAACCACACAGCAGGGAGAATAAAAAAAATCTTTATTAACAACATCACTGAAAAGCAATCAATTTCCATAGAAAGAAAATCAAGGCTATAAAAACAGGTGAGTAGTTCTGCTCCGCTCATAGGCAGTGCCCCCTTTTTGCCAATAAGCAATGCAGCTTAATTACTCGAGCCATCCAGGGAGTTTAAATTTACATTTTACAAGCGCTTCTAAAAACCGCCCTATTTAATAATCTACGTTGTCAAGAAAACACATTCCAAGTGCTTCCGACAATTAAACCTGCTCGATGTCTTGTATAAATCAAGATTTTGCTACCATAACAAAATGTTACACAGGGGCCCGCAGAACAGTGCCCATATTCTCATTACATGCAACACTAATTACAAGAAGCCGATCCAGAAATTTTCTGCGCATTAGAGGCTTTTAAAGGAGCGGTGAAAAAATTTCAGGCACCATTAATTTAAATTTGTATTGAAATTTCCTTTTGACAGATGGCCAAAAATTACTTATTATTTAGAATATCAAAACTGTCTGCTTGCACGTTAGGAGTGGAGGAGAGGCAAAAATTAAAAGGACGGAAATTTATGTTGTGTTTATTACCTGCTAAATGTTAAGGAGCAAACTCCTACGTGAATAAATTATGCTTTCTAAGAGAGAACAGGAAAAAGGACCCCAGACAGAGGTAGACTGGCTGGATAATTCGAGAACTAGAGAACCCTTTTAACAAGGAAATACTTAAGCGAGGGCAGATCAATAGGACACGCTAACTGCTACTCTGGGCATTGCTGCAAACATTTAAGGAAATTAGCAAACTAGTTCACCTTGCAAGGCTGGCAGACAGCCTCGGATGTTGACACAACCCCACTCACAGTTTAAAGACAATACAGCAGAAAAATCTGTCAAACCACAATTTCTCAATCACCACATGTATCTGCATCGACTAAAGGGGAAGCTTCTATCCATTTATAGCCTCACAACACAAACTGAACTGAAGCACACTGGTTACTCTGCAGAGAGCATTACCTTCTGTTACTCACTTTCAGCAATTTTTGGTTTTAGCTGAAATATCTGCAATGTGTGATAGCATTTAATCTTTTAAACAGATTAAGTGACGTGGTTCCTGTGTGTGAGGGAGGAGATTCCCTCTCGTGTTGCTGTCCTGGAAGACGTTATGGGAAATGACAGCTGATCAGATTTGTAGCTGAACATATATGAAACACACAGATATGAAACACAGAAATTGATGCAGCTCCGTAAAATGTACCAAAGTACCAAGTTTGACCTGGTATTTACTTTTTGCCCTTCCCATGCAGCAGTGCTCAAAGGGGGAGACAGAAGCAGCAAAAGGAGCTAGTCAGTTGCCTTGAAGTGCTCCTGTGCCATGAGGGACATGTTGGCAGGAGAAGAGAGCACATGACATATGAATGCATCAGTTTGTTGCTTCTCCTGTCACTCTCCATTCACAGGCTGGAGGAGAGAAGAGACCAGTAAGTAATACTTAAAGTGATACTAAAAACTCAGGAGTTAAATCTTAAGAATTCAATGAAGTACCTTAAAAAGGAGAACTGTGGGGTTAAGGCTTTTCCCCATAGTTCTCCTTATGGTAACGGGAGGACACAAACTAGCGTCCTCCCGTCACCCTAGGCTCAGTATACCGCGAGCTGTAGCTCGCGGTATACTGAGACGCCGCAGTATACCGCGGGCTGCTGATCGTGGTATACTAAGACGCCGCAGCTGAAGCGGATCCCGACAATTATGTCTGGATCCGCCCAGCTGCGTGACTGACAGCTGGCTCTGTCCATCTAGAGGCAGAGCCAGCTGTACCCGCCCCCTCCCCTGTCCGTTCCCGCCAGTCAGCGCTAGCGGATCGGAGCGGGGAGGGGGAGAATCCAGCCCCTCCCCTGTCACGACAGAGAGCCGTGATAGGATCGAGAGGTGAGCGAACGCTGGTATCTGTTCGCTCACCTCCCGATCTACTGAGCCGACCTGTGACAGTCTCATTGTCACAGGTCAGCTAGAACTATGAGGTGAGTGAAAAGCATTCACCTCATAGTTCTCCTTTAACTATTAACAAATTATTTGTGCATCACTCGGTTGTAGATCCTCAAATCATCTCTGAATTGGTGCCGACACTGTCCTTCCTTCTGGAGGGTGGCTACTTTTGGTCCCCATGTATGTTGTAAAGTAGCCACCGCTCCATGCTTACTCCTGTGATGGACTACAATCTTATGTTTAGTTTACCAATTTATAATTGAGATTGTAGTCTGTCCTGGGAGTGAGCTTGGGGTGGTTGCTACTTTACAACACACAGACCATGGGGAATAAAAGTAGCCACCCTCCAGAAGGAAGGACAGTGTCAGCACCAATTCAGAGATGATTTGAGTAATCTAAAGCCCACTCATTCACAAATAAGATACAATTTTTGTTAATAGTTAAGGTACTTTAATGTATTTTTAAGGTTTGAGATTAGCGTCACTTGAACCTGAGAAAAAAATTACACCTTCTGCCCTGCCAGACAAGGCTGTGTGGTCTGAGGGAGCTGTATAATCTCAGACCTGGATGAATAGAAAGACAAATCATTTGGCAGGACTGACAAACACAGTTTGCTTATAGGTGCCTTTCACTTGCCTTTCTGTCTGATCACTGCCTGATGAGTCAGGATAAGACATTTGTGAGATCATTTACAGTCAATTGACAGGTGCATTGTACCTGTAATTGGCCCTACTGACCTGCATTTACTCTGCTTGTAAACTGCAACCACCAGCTTCAAGAAGCTTTTGCATTCCCTTGACTTGGTATGTAAGAAAGCAGTTCTGATGCAAATGAAAGCCTGTCAACACAGGCCCTAAAGCATTACCCAGTGTCAGCAACTATTTTTCGAATGAACATACTGTCCCAGAGAGGACACAAAAATACTGGTGCTTGAGAGTTATACTGCTAACGTCTTTCTTGTGGATACAGATCTTGCGTAACACTGATCCACTCCCTGCTGCTTCCTGAATGGAGAGCTACCAGTAAATTACCATGCTACAGCAGTGTCAGTAAGAGGACGAGAGGAGACTGTAGTGGATATTGTGACACGTTAGAAACCTATTCATACAAACGTACTGTTTTAACACTAATTTAGAAAGGGATTAGTCCAAAAGGATAAATGCACATTAAAACAATCTGTGTGTACTTTTTACCCCACACCTTCAACCTAAATGATCCTACTCTCCCCAAATATGTACCTACTGAGATCTGACCAGCATGGTTTACATCCAGCACTACAAAGTTCATATATCACAACAGAGACCATGACATCTAGGTCTAGGCTGTACACAGGGCCTTAAACTCCATCCCTTTAGCCTACATTCAACAGTCCAATGTCAGGACATTAGCGGCCAGAAGATGCTCTGATATTGGATAGTAAAACCTGCTGGCTCCTGGATTGGCCTGACCGCGATAATCAGATTACTCTTTAAATAAAACATAATTAACAAAAGGCAGGGTTAAAGCCAAGGAGAACATCTAGAGAAAGTTTTGGCGCAGGAGTCAAAATTACTTTCTGAATGAAGGGTAAGAAGAGAGAGTTACGCAAGTGAAGTCCTGCATCCCATCTTCTACAGAAGTTTGTAATTTCATTCTTAATGGAGCTGCAGATCATAAGCCGATATACGAACAGCACCATTTAGTTGCTCTAGTGAAAAGCTTCATGTCTCCAGGGAAGCAAAGGATGCCAGAATTCATTGATTTCTGTACGGCTCAGAGCTGCTTCTAGTGATATGCTGTGAAGTAGGGACAGCCCCATAGACACCCTGCATGCCTGAATGTTTCAGCATTTCACAAACTGTTAGAACCCCAAAATCTACAAGTGTTTTCATTCAGACATAGTTGATTTGTCTCTGCAGTAGAAATGTGATAATGGGACAGTAGATATAAAACACCTCAATACCATCCTGGAATACATCATTTATATTGCACACTGGACCTTCTAATAGTACAGTTGGCCAACAGGATTTGTAAATTGTGAAGATTACAAATGCAACATACGAAAAACAAAAACAAAAACCCAGACAAGCCTTGATAATGCAGATATTTCCTCTTGAATTTGGAAAGAATCTGGTCAACGAAAACTGCAACTTGTACTACATCTGCACAAATGTAACAGCAAAATGATATGTAAAATAAAAAAAGCCCTACCTTAATTGAATCTCTGTCTGCGAGGCAGTCATCCAACAAGTCAAAAATGAAAGGGGGAAAAAAAAAAAAAAAAAAAAGAGAGAACGCATTTAGTTAGAACACAATAACAAAATAGTTATGTTTTATGAAATGGTTTTGCGTTTTTACTTCTGCTGACCTCTTTGATGATCACTGTCATGGTGCTTTTTTTCATCCTTTATTGGAAGATGAGACTGTCCAGAAAGGGCACTGGAAAGCGCCAACAGTCCTGCGCTGCTGCTGATTGGTGGGATGGCAGGAGGTTGCAGGCCGGAGGGATGAGGAGTCAGAGGCACCGGAAGTCCATGCCCATGAGACAGATGCTGAGCCTGGAGTTGTTGCTGCTGTGAGAAATTAAACATAGATCTTGAACTTGCTCAGTATGAGAAAACCGAATGACATACAATAAAGTCAGAAATACTGCCTTCAGAAAAGACAAAGAAATGTCTATGAGTCAATTTGAAAATTCATAGCACAGGCTATTATGATAATTTTTTTATTAGGAAATGCAGCACACAAACCACAGTAATATCAAGATAGCCTGTCAGCCAAGCGTGGACCTATACAGAGCGGGGTATCTACCACAATGCAAACAAGGCATTTGCCATGGGCTGCACATTGCAGGGGGGGGGAGAGGGCAGCAAAAAATGCAATGCCCAAACCAGTGAGGCAGCGCCTCACCTGACATTAAGAGGAAAAAAAAAATTATCCTTACCCAAATACACAGACTAGCTCAGCCTCCTCTCTCCAACGCTGACAGACGTGATACAGCTTCTGACAGGATAAGCAAAATACGCAGCAGGCTTCCATGCTACATTATTACCACAACCTGTCAGAATCTGGTAACATCGTGTGCGGGGTATCCATTGACTGACGGGTAACGCAAAATGTCTTAAACGGGAAGGGATGGGGCTCATTTAGATTGGGGGGTGCCCAAATGTAGTCTTACCTAGGGCAGCACAAAACCAAAATACACCACTGGCTATACATCAACCTCCAACCATAGGTAAGGCAATGTAATGCAAAATCTTAAGGTTCAGGTCAAAATCTAACAGGCTTTATTAAAATCTGGTGACAGACAATCCGATCTGATTGTGCAATCCCCTTTAAATTTACCAACAACTACACAATGTGAGGGCCTACCTGACTCGATAAAAACTTAATATTTTCTTCTCTAGAGCTCATTCACCGAACCATTATCCAGGCACACAAGAGCACTACTATGGGACGGATGCATATACTAGATATTTTAATAGTGAAAAGGACAGTGCCTATGCGACAAACCAGCCAGATGTCCAACCGGAACTAAAAACAAAAATAAATAAATATTCCTGGAATCTGGCTATTAAGATGCTAAATAAATTCAAAGTTTTTAGCGTGGGATTTAGCACCACTGAATTACTCTGTGTTCACTCCTAACACTTAAAAAGTGTTTCAAATCACGAAAATCTTACTCAAATACAACGCTTAAGAGTCGTTTGAAATATTTTTTTTTAAAACATCGCCATCATTACTGGTGATCCTGCCACAATTGTCCTTGTTCAGGGGCTTCCTGTTCTAGTGTGTCAACATTCTGTCCAGTTTCAAAATGTGCCCTTGCAATGTCTCCCTGTTAGATGGTCTTTCGAAGGAGACAACATTACAGTTTTGGCATGCATTATACTGGTATGGTCCACAGTTGGCAGCATCGGAAAACCCATCTTAAGGGCTCGCTCACAACAGCCACAGTGCGTTCCGGCCCGATTGGCCGCAGCCATTGACTTCAATACACCACCACGCCCCCTCCCGCCCCAAAACAAAGTGATTCGGCCGGAATGCGATCCAGTGCGTTCCGGGCACCAAGCCGGCCGGAACACACTGTGGCTGGTATGAACTAGCCCTGAGATATGCCATGTAGTCATAGCTGGTGTGTACGTAGCCAGGAAGGGGTTACAAAGAGATGTAACAAAGGTGAAAACAAGTTTAAAAAAATAAAATAAAGCAACTGGTTATGGAACAAAGTACATTAACATACTTTCACTTAACATTTAGTTAGGACTTAGGCCTGGTTCACACCTCTGCGTTTTACAGCGCGTTCCTACAGCTGTAAAACGCAGAACATGTGAAAACCAATGATTGCCTATGGGCTTGGTTCCCACCTGGGCGTTTAACAGCGTGTAGGAACGCGCTGTAAAACGCAGAACATGTGAAAACCAATGATTGCCTATGGGCTTGGTTCCCACCTGGGCGTTTAACAGCGTGTAGGAACGCGCTGTAAAACGCAGAACATGTGAAAACCAATGATTGCCTATGGGCTTGGTTCCCACCTGGGCGTTTAACAGCGTGTAGGAACGCGCTGAAAAATGCCCTACGCCCAAAGTGTACAGGAGCTTCTTTGTGGCGTATTTGCCGCGTGTATCCATTAGGATACAGCCGGATAGCCCGTGGAAATGTGCGTTTGTCACACATTTTTCGCGAGTTTTTTAATGCAAATCGCGGTAAAATGCACGGCAAACGCGCATATTCCGTACGCCTGGGTGTGAACCCAGCCTTATACCTACGTTGCCATGTCCCAATACCTAACCCTGTCCTTATCTCCAATCTTCATTTTCAATTTAGCTCTTAAACTGAATCCTTCACACTTGATCTCTCCTCAAAACAAACTTTAATTATAGAGCCAAACTCTTCGTTGAACCAGTTGCTATGCCCTGCATGATCAAAGCACAGGTTTACTTTAACATACTCTCTAAATAACAGACTAACCCTTAAAGGATTTCTCCACCTTTTGCAGAAAAATAACAAATGCACACTTCTTAATAAGAAGAATTGCAACCGTGATCATTTGATTGTGGGTGCAATGTGGCTCCTGCAGACTATACTTCCTGCCCATGTCTGTACGGAGGTCTGCCATGGTAGTTTCTCCATTGACTGATCCCGTCAAAGAATCTGTAAATGTGACACGGCTGTTCGGGCAAAGCCATGCACGGCCACACCAATTTGGAACACCAAAAGCAGCCTGCAGGGAGAAGAACCCCACAATTTAGGTATGTGGGGACAGGAGGTTGGCAATCTGACCATGTTACACCCTAAATATGAGTGTAACATGAAATGGTCAGAAACCTGAACTTAGCCTTTAAAAACGTCTATTTTTGCCTTAAGTAGGGTCACCAAAACCACTGTGCAATATACCACTCCTAAGAAATGACTGTTCTGTTACGAAGATATACAATACTATTGTATACAAGAGTCACTATGCCAGGGCCTGCAACACTAGCTAGGTTAGTGCCAAAAAACCTAAAGTATACTTATTTTACAACAAAAAGTACTTCCAGAAACAGAATTACATCATGGAGTTCAGAGAAAGATGAACTGTACTCTTAAAATAATGTACTACACAAAATGATAATATATTTTACAAATACACAATTCAGATGTAGAGAATTGTGGGACACACACATATACTTTATAGAAATGCACATCAGGACCAAACTCAGATTTGTAGACGAGTTTTCCCAGCACGTTTTCGACATATTCCTAAGAGGGAAAAAAAAGATTTTCGTAGGCTAATAATAACATAATTAACAATATCAAAAGGACTGAAATATCCAACCAAAATAAAATCTGTAGTGTGCAAAAAATATATGCATAGCAGATGCAGTAATGGAAAAAAAAAGTATGGATATACTGAGCAAATTAACGCTGAACAGTTTAGGCCTTTTGCACAGCATGCAGAGAGAGTTAATTTGAAAGCAAAAACCTGAATTAACAACTCAGAAAGGGAACTGGTTGCAGCCACCGTTTTAAGCTCTCTAAGTGTCCTCAGTGGTACTTGAGCAAATTACTAAAGAAAATCTAATGTAGCAAGGCATGGGTTCTCCTGTAGGCTTGCTCAATAATGCTGAAATAATTGGGCACTCTGTGCACGTTTAGTGATGCTCGAATGAAAAGCTAGAGGCCTGCCCTTGTACTCTTCTCTTGCTGCTGACTCTGTGTTGTGACAGGTTTATTTGAGTGGGACTGTAATGCATGCACCAGTAACTGTGCTGACAAGAGTTTAAAGTCATTTTTACCAGCACATTGGCAGCACACAGTATTGCTTGACCTTAGTAAAGACTGAGCACACAAAAGCTGGGAAATTCAGATTAAATGTATTTAAATCTGCTATGGATGAGGTTTTAAAGCACATTTGAAAAAAGACCTGGTAAATGTTGAAAACACATTATCTAGCTACCTTTGTGACATAACTACACTGTATTTTAATGCTTTTATTTGAAGAAATAAAATTTGTCTTTTTGTGTTACTTTGGAGGTGCTAATTATCTCTTTGAAAGACATTCATTATGGATGTGAAAGTGAGGGAGCCTTGAAGCAAGTTGGTCATTATATTAAAATCTATATAGATATAGATATATATCTATATCTATAGATATATATCTAGATCTATCTATAGCTAGATATCTATATGTATATATAGATATAGATATCTATTTTTTGCCTACAGAATTGGAGAAGATTGGGCCAAACTGACAATTTATGATTGGATCGAGAACACCTGTTTCTGCCTCGACAAACCTAGATAAAGCTCCCTGGTCAAGTGTACTCAAGACAATGTTAATAGGCCAATTTGTATGTTTCTGGCTGATCACTATTGTTTTTCGCCGAGACAGTGTAGCAAGAAGCACTCCCTCACACTTGTTCTGTTCATGTCCCACACTTGTCTGAGGTGTTAAGGCACAGACATTAAATCAAGCCCAGACTAATATTACCCAGAACTAGGAGCCAGCTTTCAAATCCTAGGAACCAGTGCCAAGCAACCTGCATATGACATGTGCATGAAATGGCAGTCAATCTTCAGGAAGGGACCCTGCACGGCCCTGAAACATTAGATCAATAGCTATGGGACTCATTTACAATAGACTACAGACATGCGTGCACTGAGTGCAGGTGATTTAGCCTCCAAAACCTGGAATAGCTTTATCCTTCACATGCAGGGCTGTGCCATATTCTCCTGATCACCAATCAGGGTTATGCAAGTCAGTTTTTCCCACTTGCAGTCAATGAAACCACAGGGTTAGGCCAGTTTCTTTCCACCGTAGACTTTGGAAGTGGGGGATAGGGGGTTCTGGGAAGGGACAATAAGAGAGTTCCCATGTGTGCTGGAAAGAGTGCTGTGGGGATAGTAATGCAGGAGATTTGCTCTGATTCAGTACTTATGTGCCAGCTTTACCCAACAATATCTCTTAATGACCAGGTCGCCAGAGTTTTTTCACTTGCCATGGTGAATTGTCTAGCCCTGTGTTTAGTTGTGGATTAACGTGCGTTGTGTTCATTTTAAATGGGTTGCCTAATGCAGCCTAGCATAGCCA